CAAAGTCTAAACCTCTCAACAAGTTCTTTAACGACTTGCGTTTGGACCTCGTCAAACTCGCTGATCGTTATCCATTAGAACCGTCAACGTCACTCTTGGCATCATCATCATCAGCACCAACGGCTGCAACTCTACCAACAACGGCTGCAACCCTACCAACAACGGCTGCAACCCTACCAACAACGGCTGCAACTCTACCAACAACGGCTGCAACCCTACCAACAACGGCTGCAACTCTACCAACAACGGCTGCAACTCTACCAACAACGGCTGCAACCCTACCAACAACGGCTGCAACTCTACCAACAACGGCTGCAACTCCACCAACAGCGACTGCAACGCCAACAAATGGAGGGGACACCGACCCTACCCTGCTAAAAGAGGGACAAACTAAAGACGAGACTTCTCATTTGCCGCTATCAATATGCACGTCCGAGCCAACCGTAGCTCAGCTCGAGCATAGGAAGCAACAGTTGGAAAGGGAACTGGTCAGGGTCATCCAAGACAAGCTGGCCGTTCTAGAGGAGCAACAAGGGTTGGCCATGCCCAAGACGATCCAAACTCCTTCAACTGACTATGCCAATGACAACAACATGACAACAACTACGCAAATGGCAACGACAAAGTTCAGAATGTCTGGTAAGATTCACATTTTGTACTTGCATTATGAAAAATACATCGGCTGAAGGTATTGTATTTGACATTTTTCTACATTTCTTTTTCGCATAGATGACACTAATCACAACGGCAATGTGTCGGATGGTGATAATGCCACCACTACAACAAGTCGTGCTGATGGTTCCATAAACGACAATGTTGTTGATGGAGCAGACGCATCCATCAAACCAGCGGACATTTCGTCTGGTGTGCTAGAAAAAGCCCGACAATCGACTGTAGCTTTGGGTATGTAGATTTATTATCTATAGCTAATTGCTGTAAAACCGATTGTTATTACACTTGTTGAATATTTTGTTTAAAATATAAAAATAATTTGTAGATCTGGAGATATCCGACAGCGAGGAGGAGGACAATGGTGATCATGAAGCTCAAGAGGGAACGTCCAACTTTTCATCTGCAGCTTTTCTTGCAGAAATGACGGCTGAATTTAGTGATAGTAGTAGTAGTGCTAGAAGTAGTAGTGAAAGTAGTAGCAGTAGCAGTAGTGGTAGTGGTAGCAGTAGCGAGGAGCAAGAGGAAGAGGAGGGGACATTGGTCGACACATGAATGTCATCTAAATTAGTATATTCGTTATCTTGTTACCAATACCAGTTGACATTTATGTGTACAACATATCAAATGCCTTGTACGCAGTGAACAATCACTATTGGATTTATTAACAACACTTTATTATTAATATATATATTCTTTATTTCTATTGATTTAGAAAAATTAATTATGCCTCAGCCTTTTACTATATTTTGATTAAAATTAATATGGGTGGCGAGGCCGGGACTAATAATAATAGAAATAAAATATTATGCAGCTTCGCCTTAGCTTCTCCAACGTAATGGCGATGCGACGATTTATTCGCTATTATTAACCCCACCCGCACAATAGCTATTATCTTCAACCAAATTATGACTGGAAGTATGTATTGCATTAATATTACTACATTAATGTTAATTGAACACTAACCGTTTAATACAAATGGTTTTAACAGTAGTAAAAATATAAAACCTACCGCTCACTATTGACCATAAATTCTTTCTTATCGCATAAATGACTCCGTTTAGTGTGCACTAAATCATGGTTCGTGTCTAGGTCCTGACATTTTGGCACCCTTTATTCATCTCATGAGGTGTTTCTGTTTAGTGTGCACATGTTTGCACTAAACAAGATTATCGTGTCATCTTATCAACAGTATTTGTTTAGTGTGCACGTGTTTGCACTAAACAAAATTATCGTGTCATCTCATGAACGTTTAGTGTGCATTGTATTGTACTAGATTCGACATACAGCTATCGGGTGTTGGTGACAAAAATGGTGCCTGGTCGCCAGTACACGACCTGGCGACCAGGCACGCTATGATTCAAATCACCCCGAGATCAAAATCGTCAAAAATTTCAAACTCGCATTCCGACACTCATTTTTTTGTACTCTTCATTACCCCATAAAAATATCGTTGCACGAGGTGGGTTGAGAGATTATTTTTTAAATTAAAAAACTTCTTGTAATCAATATTTGTTTGACGACCGCCATTAGAGTTCCAGCTACTCGTACAAAATTAGTTAGAATACTGAAACTCAATATATGTACAATCTTGTATATATCGCGGACTTGCCTTCACACGATTCTCACCTACCACGACCGGCCACCACCACCACTTTCATGAATTTCTCTTCCCTGCTCGGTGTATTTCTCGCATGGTGTGGTGGTGGCCAATCATAGTGTTGCATTATTAGTGCCAAGTGCACCATTCTTTTGGATATTTTCTTTCCTGGCACTGCACTGGTGCCACAGACGAAAAGACTGGGTATTCCGCATTCCATATGGATTTCTCTTTCATGCTGAAACCCAACTAGAGTAACTCTCGCCCTGCGGGAGACGGGCTTATATGATAGTAACCTATTGGATTACTCCAATTTATGCGTCAAGTTCATCTCTTTTTATGAATTTCATTCAATTATTAGCTCACCCTGCGTCGCATGAGAGCTATTGAATTCCTCTTGTCCGTCTGTCTGTCTGTCCGTCTGTTAACGAGTTTTTTGCATCAATTGATGCTATTTAAACATCCCCTTGACCATTAGTTAGGCGCACCATTGGTATTGGACAAACCGAATCGAATTTTTTTATAAATTAATAGCACCCTTGATATCTAACAATCGGTAACACAAAATGATGCGAAATAATTGGGAGAAGAGATGCAAAACGCATCAATAGTGCAAAATTTCTGGGAGAAATGGTCATACAATTTTGACAAAGTTTGCAAAATTATGTATCCCGGATGGTCGCCAATGCTGCAGTAATGGTGCAACGGCTAGCCGTTTTTGTTGCACCATGGGTGCAAGAATATATGCGAGTTATGATTTATTTTGCCGGCTTATTCCCCACCTTCGGTGCAAAGTTTTGTCTAATCATCATGTCAGGGTGAGCTACTTCTAACGTTACTACGGTTTATTACTTCTACAAGGTAAGTGAGTCTAAATCATACAAAACCTCGAGAGAAAAGGTTTGCAAATACAATTTTATCAACTTGTCAGTTCAATAAAAAAATATCTAATTTGCATGCAGCGACAAAAGAGAATTTTCACTTTTTGCAAGCAAGTACATCATACATTGACCAAACAATGATGAAATTTATTTGAAAACCATGTCGAATTTATGACCTCTTCATAATCCAGATTTGTACCAGGGGATTAACGTAGGATTAGGTGACTCATCGTCACAGGTCTAAAAATCTGAACACTTTTACGCATTTCTCCGTTCTGGGAATTTATTTTTAAATTCTATCAGATCCATTTGTAGACCAGGTCAGTATCAATTTATTAAAAATATGCACTCCAGAGTTTATCAAGTTTTGAAGGAGGAGACCCAAGATAAGACCTCTAGTTAAAAGGCCTTCAGAAAAATTGGGTGCCCAAAAAATTGGCTTATGTTTTTTTAAAAAAATCATCGCCATCCTATTAATCAGCTTATTGGCTACAACTGGATCAGATAGATTTTCTATTTTCCATTCCATTCCTCTAGAAAACAATTTTGAAATCATGGTGTGGAAAGTAACCTAAACTCCGTTTCACGTTACATGGAGTACATTACCCGAATGAGCCGAATTATTTTATTATTTTGTACCATTTATTTATATTTTGGCGTAAAAATCATACGAAATTGACTAATGTAAACGCCAAAATAAGAATAAGTGGTAACAAATAATAAAATAACTCGGCTCATTCGGCTAATTTACTCCATGTCTTGTGCCGTGAGATTTTTTGAGACGATGAGTCACCTATCGTCATCTTAAATCTTTAAGGGAGCGAGCGAGGCGGAAACATGCGAATTCTTTGTCGACACCAAAGGAAGAAAATGTAAACCGCTCAAACTTGAGGAATCATCAAAGAATGAGATTGGAAAATTTATTTCGCATTGGTCACGATGACAAGTTGCAACGTGAGGATGGCCAGTTGGTCCTGTTGTTGATGGAGTACGACGCGGCGACGTATTGGAAGGTTTGAGGGGACGGGTGGTGGACCTTGGGACGGAGGAGGAGATGGAAGTGTCGTGATGATGATGCGAGGGAACGGGTTGGGAAGTGTGAGTGCGAGTGATGGGGGGCTGCAGAAGTCGGCCAATGATCATGGTATCATATAGAGATAAACAGTTCCAATGTTAGTTATTCAGTATAGGACGGGGCTGGAATGATGTGATTGGCTGGTTCGCAGTTCAAATTTCTCCATGTATTTTTGATGCCGCGTAAGTGAAGCCGTAGCACTCGCTCCGACCATCCGTCTCACTCTACCCTTTACCATCTCTCCTCACACTGTATATTTTACGTCCCAGAAAACAAAACAGTTTTTTGTGCTTCGGTCTGGACCACACCCACCCACCATCATCAATTAAAAGTAAGTTTAAGGACAAGATAGGTTAGAGTTTTACAACCATGCTAAGGATTTAATGTGACTTAATTTTTTTTACAGATTTTCGTCATCTCGAGTGGAGAATTTTTGCGACTTTCTAAGTTCGAATAATTAATTAAAAACTGGAACTTGTTGTGATTCAGATTTAAAACCAAATTTATTGCAACAAATTATATTCATTCGGATGCGACTAAATTGATTTAGCATAAATACAACTTTACTAACTTTACGTTTAACAAGTATCTAAATAACAACTAATAACACATACTCCACAGCCGTGTTGTCACCACTGAAAGTGTGTATCCACCGGCAATATTGATAAAGAAATTGATATCTAATGTGAATAAAATTTCCTTGTTGTTTATAGATTTAATAATGCATCTTCACGAATAAAAACAACTTTGCCGTAATAACCAAACATCGAAATAATTTCCCGGTTGCAAAATATTTTATTACAAATAGTAGCAATAATTTTCGTGCCTTGAGTATATAAGGAAAATGGAAACAGTTGAATGTGGTTCTGGTTCTTCTACTTCAAACTGTAGTGAAACTTATTTCTAATCTTTATCTTCTTGTTCATATAAAGGATAAATTAACCCACCCCCCTTTCGGTGGAGACACAGACAATGGTGAAGACACAAATGGGGTGGAGAGGTCGGTAAAACTCTTTGAGAAATTTCTTGAAGGTGGCTAAAAGTGTTTGCTGCAAACGACAGTTTTAGGTGATACGTTTTCCTTATCGATGTCGAGAATTTTACACCACTGCTGGAACCTTTAAAAAAACTAAAATTAGCTATCAGACGAAAAAAGAATGAGAGAAATGAGTTATTTTGCATCGGAAGTTGTACCTGACGCTTTGGCAGAAAGGAGTAATTACGATTTTCTTGGTTTCAAGAATTATCACAATTAGTACCGCAACACTTTATATTTCGGACCGTGACAAACGACGGTTTATTAAATTCAAATAAATGTTTTGAGCAACTGGATTTCCTGCGAAAAATAACAAGCAATTAGTAATTTGAAACCTTCTTGAAACAAATAACGTGTTTTCATCATATTTATGTGTCTCCACCGTTAATTGTTTATTTTAAGAAGATTTTGAAGAAGGTTTTGATAAAGTCACACTGAATTTGAGTACATGAAGGCGAATCTGTAATTAAAATGAACGTGTTTCCACCATATACATGTGTGTGTCCGCCGTTCGTTGCTTTTTTAAATTTTTGGAGATAAGAAACTATTATTTTAATATTATGGTTGAACCTGGTAAACTTTACTGAAGTTCCTGAGAATTTCACACTATTCCCGAGTCACGAACAAGGTCTCATAGTAATTGATGAGTCTGTAATTAAACAAAATAACAAGGAAATATTGATAACAGTTGCTTGCAATAATGAACGTGTTTCCACCATATTAATGTGTCTCCACCGTTCATTATTCTTTTAATTCTAGAGGAAAGAAACTATTTTTAAGATCAAAATAAAATTTACCTTAAGCGAAGTTTTGAAAGTTTTTTAATAGTCTTGACAAAGTCACATTGATTTAAGTACCCTTGTTTGGCCAAATAGGTGAACCTGTAATAAAATTAATACCTTTTAGTTATCGACTGCTCATTGGTAGCGAAAGAGTGGGTGTGAAGATATAATTTGAATTTGCTTTGTATAAACGCACACTGATAGATCAGATAAATTGACCGGTGGAGACACGGATCTGGTGGAGGAAGGGGCAATAGGTCACAATATTGAGTAACAATTGGCACAAATATTATATCTGCAATTCACAAAAATAAATTTAGTGGAACTTAATTTCCAACAATGAGAGTGTTTTCACCATACATGAATGTACATATATGTGTATTCACCGTTCATTATATGAGAAACTATTTTTGAATCTTGCAAAACTTTAACGAAATTTCAGACAATTTCACACTGTTACCAGGTCACGAACAACAACTAATGGTAATTGATGAGTCTATACTTCAATAAAATATAGTGCATTACGAAATACAAGTTCCTTGGTCCTTATTGTTGCAGAATCCAGTTAAAGTTGTTATTTACCAGGTTGGCCGGCGATGACACAGATTTCTGGTGGGGGCACGGCAGAGAGGTCGCAAAATTTATGGATGAAAAATTTAAAAATTTTATTGATACAGGTATCAATAAATCGCAATAAATTAACATTCAAATCACTCGTAAAAATGAACGTGTCACCACCATATTTGTGTCCCCACCGTTCATTGTTGAAAGAAAATAGTGTACATGCCTGATGAAGATGACTGTGGGTCACTGAAAGCTAGCAATTTTTCAATAAATCAAGTATTATCCTCGAAAACCGCAGAGATGTCTACTAAAAATAGTAATTCTTTTACTACTTACCGAGAGTTGAAGCTTAGAGCTTAACTTGTGGTGAGTTGAAGCGATTTATGTAATTGAGTGGATTTCAGAAAATTAATTTATAGGATACTAAATAATCTTTTAATTACTCAGCTTTTCCGAGTTTGGCAGCAAGAATGATGGTAAAGGAGACACCTGATTTTGGTGCCAAGAAAGGAGTGAGATTTCCAAGTAATGGGGAAATTGAGATTGGGAAAAATTGAGTTGTGCCACGGCCCTGTTTTTATGGGCGGATGCCCATAAAAACCGTCAGCCAATCACAGCATTTGGAACCCCATTTCCCTATACTGAAACAATAACCATATCTTCATCCTTCTTTAAGTGATCTGTCTTCGCTGGAAGTCGGCCAGATTGTGGGGTTCGAAGGATCAGAAGAGGGAAGAAACCAAGAGAAAGTGCAAGTCAGTCAGAGTTCCACGACGATGGCGATGACCACACTTTTCCAGACTCCTCTCGACCTATCCACGTCTCGTCAGTAGTTTAAACCTCTTGCAAACTTTAGAAGAGGAAACGTTTCTAATTTTGGCAAGAAATTGGCAGTAAAGTGTAAAACTGGTCGTCCTGGTACAAGTGGTGGTTGGGGTGTGATAAGCAAGACATGAAATTACGAAATAAAAATTATTAAATTATCACGCATCAAATTCGATATCAAAATTTAGGTACCCAATTGAATCATCAAAGTCGCATGTATATACTCATCATCTAATTGAGTGCTGATAAAGCATTTAACATGCAATATTGACGGCGTGGTATATTTGATCAATTAAAAATTCTGCAAAAGTAATACGAATAATTTAAGAAGAAATCAACTCATTTAGCAAAAAAATGTGGCTCATTTTGCATATCGTACATTGTTTACTAAATGTATTTCCGTGTTGAAAGTGGGAGTGTGACCCTGCTCAATACTTGCTCCAATTATGATCCCTTATCCGCAACAACCCTGTTTCATTCCCCATCCTTTCCCGACGACTTGGAAATGTTCATAATTATGGTAAAATTCTGGAATTAATTACAAAAGTAAGCAATACTTTGACAATTGTAAAACGTAAAAAAATTGCGTGTTATTTTGTATTTACTCACCTCCGCCAAACTCGGGTGAATCCCAATTGTCGCATTCTAGTCATTTTTTGACATCCCGAGTCGAATTGCAACAGGGAATCCTTGAACCACCTCCCCCGCATTGTAACCTATGAAATGCAGCCCCACGACGCGATCCTGCACAGAAACAATGGTCAGTTAGATTCATGATCATGCCCTCAATTAATTAATTGCACGATTTACTACGCACCTTTTCGCTCTTTCGAGACACCACTTTGGCGTATCCCTTGTTCAAATCACTCGCTGGCAGTTGTGATTCGAAGGGTTGCAAACTTTAATGTCATCCTTTCCAAATTTTTGTATGGCGTCCTCTTTGGCAAATTCGACGAATGCGTATTCCATCGGAGTGAGCATACAAAAAAAATACGGTGAAAATGTCTTTCTACACATTTTTTATTAAAGTTTATGGCTTACTCTGGCAAGCAATAGTCCAGCCTGAATAGCGGCCGGAGTAAGTTCCGGTCTGTCCTTGGTTGGCGTAAATGTTGGGAACGCTGGTTTGGTCCGATTCGTTTTGGCGATGACGAATCCCGATTCGTCCACTTTGACTCCGATAGGACCCAAGTTTAACCCGGGCGGGATGAAAAGTCTCCCCGTGGCGAACATGACCGTGTTAAACTCTTCCTCCACGACGGACCCAGCGCCGGACGTGGGTTTCGAAGAGACGATTAATGTCCGCTGGTTGGAGGAGCCTGGTTTCCCCTCCTTCACGGAGACGGGGACACGGCCCACTTGGAATTTTACGTGACACTCGTCCTCCATATATTTCCCGACAAGGTCGGCCATTTGTTGGTCGAAACCGCGCAACAGGATGGATCGGACCTGTGAAAAGGATATGTTTTTAGCACATTTTGGCACAAAAATGAACTATTTATTTAGAGAGGTTTTAAATTCACCATAATTGTGGTATCGATTCCCAGCCCTTGAAGAAATCCGGCCGTCTCCAATGCAATGTAGGAACCACCAACGACCAGCGTTTTTCCGGGGTGATTCTGCAGTGAGAAGATGTCGTCGGAGGATAAGCAGTACTGTTTCGCACCTGGGACGTCTTCCGGATAGTGGGACGACCACCCACGGCAATTAATATGTTGGAGGCGGTATGGATGGAAATTTTCCCCTGTTTTATCGTCGCTTTGATAGTGTTCGTATAGACAAATTCGCCCAAACCGTTGATATATGTGACGTTAGGGTCCCTGAGGGCGACCCGGTAGGTCCAATTGGTCCCTTTAATACGATCCTGGACATTTTGGACGAGTGCGGGCCAGTCTACGGATTCTGGAAATTAATATTTAAATTATGAAAATCAAGCCATAACTAATTAGTTATTTAATTAATTAGATTAATACTTGATTTTGACGTATCCACACTCGTCCACCCGTAGGAATTCGCGTCCGATATATTTTCACCGACAAGTGATGCTGCAAATTAAAGTTTCAATTTATAAACACTGTCAAAAATGGTGATAATTTTGTTCGTCTGTCCATACCGACATGCATCATTTTCTTAGGAATGCATCCAACGTTCACACACGTTCCCCTCAACCCCACGTCGTCCCCTGTGGCGACTCAGGTACAAAGTCCAAAAGCGCAACTTTTGCTCCCAGAGCGGCCGCTTCCTGTCAATCGGATAATTAAATTAAAGGTCAGAGCAACCAATTTATTAACTACCGAGTGTCCTGATGTATTACCTTGGATGCCGCCAACTCTCCGGACCCACCTCCAATCACGATAAGATCGTAGTCATACTTTGACCCCTTTGTTGGCGATGATGACGACATAGTCGATTTGGTGACAACTAGTAATTTTTGTTGAGCCTGAAGAAGGGGGAGGTTACAGGTGGTGGTGGTGGTGCTACTGGTAAGGATAACTTTACTGCTAAAAGTACTGAATTGACGAAACAGCAACATGAATCAACAATGCGGCCGACAAAACAAAGTGAGATGACAAAAAATACAACCACCCAAATTTATGCAATTCTCCGCTATGAGTAAAATGATCTCAGGAAAGGCTATACTTGAAGTGAGTTAGTTATGTGCTGTGCGAATGGAGCTAAACTCACGAGAAACCCTAGTCTCAGCACAAGGTACTTCAGGAGGCCGTAGGTTTAAGCTCCACCCGCACAGTACATAACTCGTTCACTTTATGTATAGATTCCTTCCTCGCCTTTGCTGGAACTCTCTGGGCATAACTTTTTTAGTGATGAAATAAAATAACGAGTCTTATGCAACTTTTTCCATCAAAATTTCATCAGCTAAATAAAATTGCGTAAGGATTTTATTTCAAATATGTATGCATCTCCATATTTCGTTTTATAGACCGAATTTGGTTGCTGAATCTGAAAAAACAGGTCAAAATTGTTGCCCCCCACAACTTGTACCATCCCTCATCGAACCTCACCGTCTCAAGAATCTCGAAACTCTCATTTCTTCTTGCATCAAATCTTTAAGAAAATCCACCAATTGTTGAGCTGTTTTAGAAAAGTGGATATGAGACACAAACACAACAATAAACAAAGAGACGACAAATATTATGCATATTTACATAAATACGTATAATAATTTTATTACAATGTTTTCAAACCCTGCACATTTTGTTTTTCATTTTGAGAGATAAATATTTCAGACCTTAATTCTTGGATGGTTTTAGTAGGGATAGGTTTTGGCCATTTGTTTGGAAAACCCCTACGACTGGGCAGCCTTCAAGGTCTGCGTGAGGTTGTTGTAGTGTTCCTCCTTGATGTCGACGTCCCCCAACCCCACGCACCACCCCCGCCGCCACCTTCGTCATGGTCATGACCCCCCGCATCATCCCCCGTCCTCCTCACCCGCGCCATGACCACCTCATGCGGCACCGTCTTCAAATCGTACGCCAATCCAAAGTAGGCGCACAGGTTGATAAATGCGCACGACTAGTTGAGCCCATACACACCCGGATGTCAAAATAAGGTCATAGGCACTAAAGGTCAAAGGTTATCGTGTAAACGGCTCACCCAACTCGGCCGCCTTGTAATGTTGAGAATACACGTGGTGGTAGTTATCAGAACGATAAGCATCATTAACTTGGCTAAATTATGACGGTTTATTATTGGGTAGTTACCCATCCTTCTCCAATGGCGAGCAGGGCGACGAGCTTGTTTTCTCTGGCGAAAATCCTCCTGTAGAAAACAGGACGAAAGAAATTAAACTAATTTGAAAAAAATTAAATGTGACAACGGATTGGGAAGCATGTCGCTCGAGTTTTTTTGCGGAAAAAAATCAACCCAAACAAAAATTTGGATCATTTCAAAAGTAAGGTTACCTTTTTCCCAAATTCCAATTTTTATTAGGATCTAAATCAAACTTTGAACTTGAATATTTGAGCTGGCAAACCTAGAGTTGATTACATTTTCGAAAATCCAAATTTATGTCCCCAAAAAATCTCGAGTCTTACATATTCGCAAACTTATATTAAAACGACTACATGAAATCCGCACTACATTGCACCCCGTTTCGACAAAAGAACAAAATGGAGACGTACGTATCATATTTTTTGTATCCATAAAGATGCGCAGCAGAGTTGACGAGCCATGTAAAGTGAAGCGTCGTCATGTAGCGAAACGAGTTGACGGCGAGGGCGTCGAGCAGGCTCATCGTGGGAAAAAGGTACATCAGCGTCCAAATCGGGACAGCAAAAACGGTCAGGAACTCGAGGACGCGGTAGTGTGTGAAATATGTAAAAAAAAAGGTGTAACAACAGCTTGTGACCTGAGTGACCTTCTCCTGACCTTGACTGGAACCTGACGATGGGGTCATTGTCGAGGTCAGAGAAGTCGAGACAGTGCTCCCTCTCCCTGACGGCGGGATCTTCTCTGACGAAGAGCCACCCCATGTGCGCGAACCAGAACCCACGCCGCGAGTTGTAGGGGTCCGCGGCCGTCTCGGTGTACTTGTGGTGCAGCCGGTGGTCCTTGGACCATTTGAAAATGCTGTGCTATTCGTTAAACAGGACCACGTGATTATGTACTTAATTATCATAAAGTTGATTACTAATTTGCATGCCTGGCCGGCCGCCGTTTGCGCCACGGCGAGAAATATTTGGAGAGGGAGTTTGGCATTGAAGGTGCGGTGTGACCAGTACCGGTGACACCCCACTGTGATCCCCACCCATATAAAGTAACCCATCACAATGGTTACAAATTATGCAAATTTTGAGCACGTTTTTTGTCTGACGACGTGGGGTGCCACGGTTTTGAGGTCGTACGCCATCCCCAGCGCTGCAAACGTGTCGATGAAGAGGGCCGACCAGTTGCGTCCGTATGCACCTGGAAGCCAAAATAAGGTCAAAATCACTAAAGGTCAAAGGTTATCGTGTAAAGGGCTCACCCAACTCGGCCGCCTTGTAATCTTGAGGATACACGTGGTTGTAGTTATGCTTTCGGGGTTATCAGAATGATAAGAGTCATTAAATTGGCTAAATGTTGATAAGTTTACTCTTAAGAATGGCTTGTTACCCATCCCTCCCCCACGGCCAGAAGGGCGACGAGACCGTTCTCGGAGGCGTAAATACCCCTTAAAGAAGATAAGAAAGGGTCAAATAAGGATGCCTGGGTAGGAAATAAGTCGGAATTAGCATTGTGGAGGGAGCTTACTTGTCGTACCTGTCGAAACAGGATTTTTAAATGAATTATTTAGCTCTAAAAGAAACATTTTTCTTTATATAAATCACTCACGATTTTGATCCCCAGAGGTGTGCCGCAGAGTTGACGAGCCTTTGAAATTGATGCAAATTTTAATACAGAATCTCAATATTGCAATAGAAATGGATTACCATGTGATGTGGAGGGTGGAGATGTACATGGCGTAGTTGACGCAGACCAACTCGCACGCCCCCAACGAGCCAAAGACGCTATGAAATATCCAGATCGGAACAATGTACATGCTCAGAACCAACAGCGGCCAGTAGTACCTGACAAAAAGGGCACAGTTTAATCAAAAAATCATGACCTCAATAAGTGTTTCCCTATGTACATACCTTGTCTGGAAATGTTGTTAAATATTTCTGTGTTTTGATAATTATAAAGTTGGTTATCTATATTATAAGCTGGAAATGTTTGTCTGCAACGGAAGTGAAAGTAATTTTCCACAACGGAAGTGAAAGTGGAGGAAGTTAAGTTTCGAATGGCGCGAAAATTCAAAAATTTTAATTTAAAACAAAATTATTCTTGATTTACAACCACTCCCAAATAACCAAACAGGATAATCAACTCCAGACAATCGCCGTCTGAAAACCACCCCCAGATAACCACTCCCAGAGAAATATCCCCATTAGTCCACCACCAGAGTGCCGCTCCCGGATAAGCACCCCAAGATAACCTCTCCCAGATAACCACCCCAAGATAACCAGTCAGATAACCACTGTCAGATAACCAGTCAGATAACCACTGTCCGATAACCACTCCCAGATAACAGCCAGTGGAATGCATACCTAGCAATTCCGTGCAGTGCCCACATGTTTGCACTAAACAAGATCGCCATGTCGGGTCATAGACTGTTTGTGTTTAGTCTGCACATGTTTGCACTAAACAAGATCGTCATGTCGGGTCATAGACTGTTTGTGTTTAGTGTGCACATGTTTGCACTAAACAAGTTCGCCATGTCGGGTCATAGACTGTTTGTGTTTAGTGTGCACATGTTTGATGTATTTTGTTTGCATCGCTCTTTGTCGCCCTACGTCGCCCCGGGGTTGATATATCAGAGACCAAGGACCCGCAATTCACCAGGAGAGACACTTAATTCAGGCTTGAACGCGAACTACGAATTTATTTTTGTTACTACTGCTTGTCCGACAATGGAGTCTGTCCCTTCAACTTCGACATCTCGGGGGAGGAAGCACAGAGCATCACTGTCCGTCGAAGATATGGAAAAACTAAGAGCAGCAGATCGACTGCGAAAATCCCGTAAAAAAGATGAGGTCAACCGACAGGTGATTCCAGCGACTATTCTATGCGTGTATTTATTTGCAGACATGGAGGTTCGGGATTGTCGTCGAATGCCGTTGTCTTCAACTGAACGGTCCAGAATTCACAGAGCTGGCGAGTCGCTAAATGCAACAGAACGAAGGCGCAGGTCGGATAGGATCAGGGCCCAACAAAATCGAGCTGCAGAGACCGAACAAGTAGAAGCCGCAAGAAAGGCAAAGATTGCTGACCGGCTCAGACAGGTTCGATTAAGTCAAGAGAATGCTGACCCACCTGAAATACAATCCCTGGACAGCTTGGACGAGATTTCAATTGATGAGCATTACTGTGGGAAAATGAGTATAATTTGTGCCTCCTGCAGCTCCCGAAATTTTCCGGGAGAGGTCACTTCCAACGACACGTCCTTCACCAAGTGTTGTCAGAAAGGAAAAGTCGGCCTGCCCCCAGTTAGAACAACTGACCTCCTGGAAACTTTAATGAAAGGTCAACATGAAAAGAGTAAGAACTTCATGGAGTACATCCGGTCATTCAACAGCTCCCTTGCTTTTGCATCCGTCGGTGCTAACCTAACAAGTCCCCCTGGTCATGGCCCATACTGCTTCAGGATTCATGGGCAAATTTATCATCGTGCGGGTACACTACATCCTGAAGAAGGACAACCACGGAAGTTTGCCCAACTTTACATCTTGGATTCCGGCCTTGCTGCTGAACAGCGTTTGTCGCTAACCGAAAATTCCAAATGTTCCCCTGAGTTAATGAAAGAGTTAAGCAGTTTCATGGCTTTGAATAATCCTTTTGCAAAAGCGACAAAAATGTTACATGAAGTTGAGATTGAAGCGGAAGAGGAGGCCAGACAACAAAACCAACCAAAAAGCCTTCTCTTTATGGCCATCGTCCAGACAAAGGAAAGAGATATCATACGTTATAATGCTCCAAGAGCCAATGAAGTAGCCATTGTATTCCAAGGTGATGATGGTGAGCCTCCACTTAATTCATCTGAGAAAAGATCCCTCCAATCCTTCAGCCCCATCCACAAGGAGGATTAGTGTCTTAGACCCCCTATTGGACGCCATGATGTATCCTCTTCTGCATCCATTCGGAGATCCAGGTTGGTCGCCTGAGCTGAAGCACATCAGCGGCAACAATAAAAGAGTGTCTCAAATGGAATACTACGGCTATCGTTTTGCTGTCCGGAATTCATTCAATCCGTTCCTAAGCGCTGGGAAGCTTACGCAGCAGTATTTCGTGGACGCTTATATCAAGACGGAAGGAAATCGCCTTAATTTCATCAAGATGAATCAATCGAAACTGAGAGCCGAAACGTACAAGTGTCTGGCTGATTATCTCCAATCTGATGCAGGTGGAATTTACCCGGGGAAAGCTATCATTTTACCATCATCCTTTCAAGGCAGCCCTAGAAACATGCAGCAGCATTGTCAAGATGCAATGGCCATAGTTCGACGATACGGAAAACCCGACCTTTTCGTTACAATGACATGCAATCCGAAATGGAAAGAAATCCAAGAAAATCTGGAGCCCAATCAACGGGCGTAAACCGCCCGGACTTGGTTTCTCGAGTGTTCCATATCAAATTGAATGAGCTGTTGGATGATATCGGAAAGCGCCATGTTCTTGGGAAGCAAAAGGCAAAAATTCACGTCATCGAATTTCAAAAACGGGGCCTTCCCCACGCTCACATTTTAATAATTTTGAGGCAAGAGGATAAACCTTCGACTGATGATAAAATTGACAAGTTGGTCTGCGCGGAAATTCCAGATCCAGTGTCCCATCCAAAACTTCATTCTATGGTTACCCACCATATGATTCACGGCCCTTGCGGGACCCAAAACATGAATAGTCCATGCATGGATGGGAATAATTGCACAAAGGACTTCCCTAAGGATTTCTCAGCTGAAACCATCGCCAGTATTGGAGGCTACCCGAGATACAGAAGAAGGGAAAATGGGGTCACCGCAACGGTGGGACAAAAATCGATCAACAACCAATGGGTCGTGCCTTATAATCCTTTTCTGCTGCTTAAATACAACTGCCACATCAACATCGAAGTTTGTGCTACAATTAAAAGTGTAAAATATTTATTCAAGTACGTGTACAAAGGGCATGACTGTGCAAATGTTGAGATTCGTGAGAATGCTAATCAACACGATGAAGTGAAGTCCTTTCTTGATGCTAGATATATCAGTCCTCCAGAAGCTGCGTGGCGGTTGTTCGGGTACCGAATGCACCAGCAAACACACACCGTTTCCAGACTGCAAGTCCATCTCCCTAACGAGCAGATGATTGTTTTTCAAAAAGACAGTATACCATCTGCTGTTAGGAACGCCGCCGCTACAGACACCACTCTCACGGCTTGGTTTAAGTTGAACCAGATTGACTCGGACGCAAGGAATTTATTCTATTTTGAAGTCCCAGAGCATTACATCTTTGAAAACTTGGCGGCCCAGGAGGATAACACAATAAAGCAGAAAATCTGGAGAAAAAGGAGGAACCGCCGTGGTGAAAAAACCATAGGCCGCATATATACAGTCAGCTTCTCAGAAACCGAGCGTTATTGCCTACGAATGCTTCTCCTCCACAAGAAGGGTGTTACGTCATTTGAGGATTTAAGAACAATCAATGGAACCATCCACGATAACTTTCAACAAGCCGCTGCTGCTCTGGGATTATTAGATAGTGACGAAATATGGGAAGAAACCTTGGACGATGCGGTGATATCTGGAATGCCATATCAATTGCGCCAGTTGTTTGCCCTAATATGCATTTTTGCCTGTCCAATGAATATTGTTTCTCTCTGGGAAAAGTACAAAGTCTCATTGATGGAAGATGATTTTGGTCACCGCCACCCAGAAGACTGTCAGCATTGTATGAACCTGGCACTACGAGACATCCAAGAGACCCTCGCTATTCATGGAAAATTCTGTAATGACTTTGGCCTCCCGAAACCAAGACCAGTCGGCTTAGGGGCACCCATCACCAACTTTAATCCTTTGGAGCAAGAGTTACTTGGGTTAGAAATGTCCCGTAATTTAAATGCTGAACAACTTGCTGCTTTCGAGTTAATTTGTGCCTCCATAGTTGACCCTACAGAGAAATCAAAATGCTACTTTATTGATGGACCCGGTGGGAGTGGAAAAACTTATTTGTATAAGACTTTGATCAGCACATTGCGAGGGGAGAACAAGATCGTTGTTTCAACAGCTTCCACTGGCATTGCTGCGAATCTCTTACCAAATGGCGAACTTATCACTCAATATAAGCTGCCAGTCCCACTGGTAGAGAACTCAGTGCGTCTTACCTCTGCTGATGCTAGACAAATAAAAGCATCAGATTTGTTAATTTGGGACGAGTGGACCATGGCTCCCAGGCACGCATTATCATCTATAGATCGCCTTCTTAAAGAAATCACGACGAAGGATATTCCTTTCGGTGGAAAAGTCTTGCTGCTTGGTGGCGATTTTCGACAAACACTTCCAGTGGTGCTCAAAGGATCAAGATCAGCAATTGTCGAAAGTTCCATTAAATTCAGCAATTACTGGGATAAATTTGCTAAGCTGACCTTGGTCCAGAATGTTAGGTCCGTTGACCCCGAATATAGCGAATGGCTGCTGAAGTTGGGAAATGGCGAGCTACTCAACTCGGACAATCTTCCCGACGATTTTGTGGAAATTCCTCTGGCAATGATTGCTGACAAGTCCATCGTCCAAGAAATCTTTGGTGAAAAACTAGGGACTTTTGAGGACGTCATGAATGTGCCCAACCGTGCAATACTGTGTCCCAAAAATGAGGATGCCCATAAGATCAATCGGGAAGTTTTGGATATCCTAGAAGGCGAGGAAGCGTCATATCTAAGTGTGGACTCCATTGAAGATGGGACAGAACAAGTCGCGGTTTTTTATCCGACGGAATTTTTGAATGGCCTCCACCCTTCGCCACCTCATATCTTACGACTCAAAGTTGGTGCTGTAATCATGTTATTGAGGAATCTAAACACCAAGCGTGGGCTATGCAATGGCACTCGCCTCATTGTAACAAAACTGCAAGTGAACTTAATCACTGCCCAAGTCTTAACTGGTTCTGCCGCCGGCCATTCAGTATTTATCCCAAGGATTCAACTAGCCCCTATAAACCCTGAAATACCGTTTGTCCTCCGACGGCGGCAATTTCCTGTGAATCTTGCATTTGCTGTGACCATCAACAAGTCTCAAGGCCAGACAATGGATTTGGTTGGAATTTATTTACCCGAACCCGTTTTTAGCCATGGCCAACTTTACGTCGCTTTTTCAAGAGTTCGTCGTTCCTGTGACGTGAAGGTTGTAATTGTGGATGGCGTAAAACAAGGGAAGTTAGTTAGAGGTGTTGACAAAGTATTTACCAGAAATGTTGTTTATAAGGAGGTGTTAGGTTAGATATCTAGTTATTATTCAATTTCTGTACTGTTTTAATGAATTTACTCAAACAATAAACCGGACAATTTACGAATTTCAATTTTCAAAATTCATACATAATATTGTGACGCATTCTTTATTGCCCCGCATAAACAGCATAGCATGAAAATTTGTTTGAAGATTTCTTTTTAATCTTTAATTTTCGAAGTGCTGTAAATTTATTTCACTTCCGTCAACATCAGAGCGTTTCAGAATAAAAAATTCATTGCGTGGTTAAACGCTTGCCCGGCGGGAGACGGGCTTATACGCTAGTTTTTATTAAATTACGCAAACAGTTCCGTTTCTGGAAAGTTTAAAAAAAATTACCCCAATTTAGGGAACACGAATATTAAATTTTAGATAACCTTATGAAAATCTCCTCCAAATTTTGTAGAACTTTGTAACGTGATAATTTTGCAGGGGAATTTGCACGATTTGACGAATCGATCCACGACGACGGCGAGTCTTGTATCTCCGCCACTCCCCACGACCGTTTCGACGTCTTCTGCGCCTCCATCCACGCCCTCTCGCCTCGACGACCACATCCTCCTCCTTTTGGTCCAAGAGTTGGAACAAATCCCCAAATTTGACACAAACTCGTCGCAACCGAGTCCCCTCATTTTCACCTCGATCGCTGCCACGCTGCCCGGAAATGGGACGGGACCAGACCTCGCTGCCCGGTACAAATCCATCCTGGCGAAAAATATTGTAGCAGCGAGAAATATGGGGTCACCTCCACCAGCACGGCGCGAACAGGACCCTGCAACCTACGCGATTCCGAACATTGATGGTCCACATGCGAAGGATTGCCGCGAGAGGCGTCCATGCACGCCTTTCAGTACTTGTTCTGCCGGCGGTGCTACCAGTACGATCCCAGAGGGCACAGTAAGTGGTCCACACCCACACTGAAAATCTGGTTGCATTGTTTAAACAAAGTTACATTTACAACTTATTTTGTGGATGTGAACTTTATCCAAAATCTTTCACATCACTTTTACGCGTCTCAAAGTCCTAAAAGTTTCAACTTTTTCCAGATCCTTAAAAGTGTCTCAATTTCCTATGATACATAAACAATTGTCTTACAATGAGTAAAAGTATTTGGCACACTCGAGAAAAAGAATTACAAATTTCACAAACTATTCTTTGCAAAAATTGTAATTTGTGGCAAATTCCAAAAAGTCTCAAGTTTCTCAACTTTCCTCAGATCCTTAAACTGTCTCAATTTCCCAGGTTGCACAGTTCGTCTCAAATTCCCACTCTGGTGCCCAATCTCAGTTCTCGTCTCATCTTTTCATAGCATCTTTTCTCAAAATTTTCCAGATGGTGACGACCACATTGACCTCAACACTCGTCGACCTCAGTCCTCGACCACTCCTGCTCCATTCTTCTGCCAAAACCCGGCCTGTTTCCTAATAAAGTCCGAATTTCCTCCTCCCCCCGAGGTGGCGGAGGAGGTGGTCTGGACGGCTGGGGAAAAATCCCTCTTCCGCGCCATCCTCCCCTCCTTTCCCGACCCCGGCTACATTGCGCACCTCCTGCTCACCAAAACCTGCGCCCAAGTCGCCACCTTCGCCGCCATCCTCCCCGCATTTAGATGGATAGAAACATTGGTGAAATTTATGCAGCATTTCAGATCATTAATATTGTCTCGCAAGCTTAAGTAATAATTAAATTTCATACGCACTTATAACAAATTTTTAGACTTTTATAAATGATCACATTTATATTAGTTTTTTGTACAGAAACAATAAGAAATCAAGAGTAAGATTCAAAAAAAACCCATCACCATTTATATAAAGGATAAATTTAATTAATTAACCTACTTACAAATTAACATTTAGTATTACAACTTATACCGATTGACAAGAATTTCAGTATTTGACCATGATTAATTCTCTCTTTGTATGTAAATACTACACAGGCCGGGGATGAAGAAATTACTGAAAAATTTTAACAAATTGGAACCTTCTCTCTTAATTTTCCACTCGTGGAAAAACTCGCGTATGCAACAAATTCATTAACTAATAGGAATAGTTATAATTAATTAATTAATAATAATAATTAACGAATAGGGTTAACCCTAAACTTCTTCTGGAATGGTTGGAACTGAGTGACTAATCTATTTTTGGTTTCATTGTTCCCTCATTTGTTCAGTAGTTTGGCTGAGATTTCATGAATAAGATTTAATTAAAAATAGAAATTTCGGGACCCATTATGACACGCATAGCACCACCTATTCCTTATTAGGATTAGTCGCCGTTGCCGTCGCCGCCGCCGCCGCCGGTGAGGACTGATTAGTACGATAAGTGATTATCTGCACGTCGTCGTCATCATCGTCGTCATCTTTTGGTTTGATTTTGACGGCGTTTGTCAATGCAGCAACAAGATTAGACGGGATGACGGCATCGAGACGAACGGGAGGTTTCAAATGGATGATCCCAATGTCGTAAGGGATCGGAGAAATCTCATCGGAAACGTCCTGCAGCAAAGTGTAGAGCTTTTCCGGCTCTGAAGTGGGGGGAATTAAATCAATCCAGCTTTGCACACCATCCATTAGTTGCGCTGTAGAGGAAAATTTGAGTAAAATGTGGACAATTTTTTAGGGGAAACTTGGCACAAAATTTCTAGCACCCACCGAAATTGTGTTCATCTTCTTCTACCCGCGGTCCCCGGCTGATGAGGTCATCTTCATATTCTGAACCCTCACATTCCTGCACCTCGTCTTCCTCATCCTCGAGTGGTTTGACATCATCCACGGCAATGAGGTCATCATCATCATCTTCATCGTCATCGTCGTCGTCCGTCATGGCGAGGAAAGATCTCTTGTGACCCGTGGAATCCTTCTCTGATCCCATCTTTTCAACATAAATGTGCATAAATATTTATATAGCTCATAATAAATAGATGAATCAAAGGAAATTAAAATTCGGCTTCGAGTAAAAAATAAAATATAGGCACCTTGACTGGAGAATTTGGTTCCAAATTCGGCTGCTTCTTCACTTGAACTTTCTTCCAGAATACAGGGGTGAAGAGCGTTTCCAAGGAAGAAGAAGAAACAGACGAACTGGTAGCTCCCTCCGCTTCGTCGTCGTCGTCGCACTGGTTCATGTAGCTCAACTTTTTCTCTCCAGCCGTCCTTTGCGTAGGGACGTATTCCGACAACCAATTCCGGGGCTTGACCTTCATATCAACCTTCGCGGCTGGCGATGAAGAATCGTTCTTCTTCTTGGGAGACTGTTTTTTCAAAGATGCTCCTCCAGGGGTAGACTTTTTCGAGGAGGGCTGCTTCTTCTTCTTCATTTGGTCTTCTACTTTTACTCTATCAATCAAGACCACCGGTTGCACGGATAACTCTGGAATCCAATTCAATATTAGTTTTGAAACATTTTCAAAATTTGTACTAAATATTTCCCACAAAAATTGTCATCTATATTTGTAAGCTGTTTTACCTCTCTCAAAAACAATAAAATATTTCTTACGCGTTAATTTATCCTTTTTGGCATTACTAGCAGCTCCTTTCGGCTCGACCACCACGGCTTGCTTCCTTTTGACGGCCTTCCGTTTGGCGGGTAGCGGTGCGATGGCAGCCTTTGATTTAATCTTCCAGAGTGACACCTTCTTGGGTGATGAGGGCGGACTGGCGGCTTTTGCGCCCTTCTTGGACTTCACAGTCAGTGGTTTTCTCGCCCTTTTCGTCTTATCCTCGGACGCCTCTTCTTCGGCAACGATGTCACTTTCCCAGTAGTAGCAGACAACTCTCGACGAGGTCTCTTGCTCATCGGAAGCGTTAAATTTTGACTCCGAGACACGTTTCGACATCGTTTCAACCGTCCGGTACGGCCACATCCGGGGGGAAGGAGGTGGTCGTAATTTTCCAATTTTATATGCACACAGAAATTGGGGAGAAGACCCAAGTTGTATCCTGGAAGAGAAGACGTGGCAGATTTTTAGTAAAACTTGCATGAGCATTTTCACAAGAAAAAAAACTAGACAATTAGTTATCTGATGGCCTTCTTACTCCGAATGACGGGTTCCCTAAACTTCTCCCAGACGACATTCCTCTTCGCCGCGGTGCGACTGCTGCTCGAAACTGGCAGTGACTTTTTCGTCAAACTGTCACTCGCTCCATCACGGACAAAACTACCCAAAAGCTCGACCTTCGACTGGAGCAGAATTTTAGATTTTTTAATCTATCCCAACATTGAAAAATAATAGTCAGCATCTCCTCAGCAGTTGATGCTTAATTAATTAATTAACTGCACACTTACCTGTTGGATTAGTCCGCTCACCTCCCGCACAACCAGGGCACACCGGTCGCAAAAGGTGAGTCCTCCTACGTTCTCGACGTAGCGAAAGTCTGTGGCGGAGACGTGAAGATCTCCGAATATTTTCATCGTCGCGTGCTTGATGCTGGGCGAGTGTGCGGAGGACGCCGAGGTGCACAGGGCATCGCAGTAGAGACATAATTCTTGTGTGGAGCAGGGCGTAGGTGAGGTCATCGCTCCACGGCTTGAAGTCATCCTCAAAACGGTGAAAGAAAGACTGCAAAATAATTTAGAAAAAGTTTGCTTAGATAAGGCGCTGCTAAAAGTGAAAAATAAGACCTCTGGGCATATCTTTTAAAAAATATATTTATTTAAAAGCCTCATCATTGTTACAGGAATTGATGGCTTTGTATCACCGCAAGACCGAATATTTACGCTAAGATTTTAACAATAAATATGACACAAAACCAAACAATATACCAAAATCAACTTTCTTACCTGGTCTTGGTCTTTTCCAACTTTGGTGATTGGTGGGTGGTGTGGCTCGGCCCTCACTCAGGACGACGTTGCTTTCGTTTAGAAATGGATAATCACGCCAAGTAAATTAAATTAATGATGACTGAAAAATCCAGATGGCAATTTTCACTTTTCACTTTTAGTTGACGACAATAGAGGAGAAACTTTGTCCTCGTGTTGTAGTCAAAGTCAGGCGGGTGGCGAGAGGCAGGTTGAGACTCACTCACTCGCTACCCACTCACTTTCTCCATATAAAAGATAACCCATCTAGCTTATCATCTTGATGCGACTAATAAATATGCATTCGATTCAAGAGAAAGCAGTTTCTTATTGATTATTTTGCTAATGATAAGCACACAATTTAACAATGTCACATAAATCTCGACGATATTGAATTTTATTTCATGTCACTCCTTTTACATATACGTTCGTACGATTAGTACAAATTATCAAATATTTGGCTCTACATTATCACGACGAATTGTTATTGCTTATCTTCGTCTCTGCCGTGCCATTATTTATCACACCTGCTCCTGCCTCCTTGTACTGCAGGATGAATGTCCGTGCGGCGGGTGTGGTGGCGTCAGAGACCACGATCGCCATGATCTGAACCCGTCCTTCTTCACAACTGCTGCTGCTGCTGCGTCCACTGCTGCGACTGGCGGAAATGTCCCAAGTCGACTCTTCGTACCGGGCTTGATGGCGTTGATAGATTAGGGCGGGGAATGAAAAAGTTGGAGATGAAGATTCCACCCCCAGCGATCCAAAATGACCAGGCGTACTTTCCCGTGTAGTCGTACAGGAGGCCTTAACGGAGAAATAAGGGGTTAGCTCCAGTCACAAATTCTAGTCAAATTTATGCAGAAATGAATGTAAAATACCAGCGATGGGTGGTCCGATCAGTTTCCGATCCCTTGCACGAGTAGGAGGAGACCGTACGCGGGGGTAAACTTTTCCAAACTGACGACCTAAACGTTAAGCAGGTAATTATTAGTTATCATTCACTTTCACTAATTAATTACGTCTGGCTATGATTTTTCTCTCGTTACTTGAAGAACGATGACGGGTGTGAGTGAGTAATTTGCCGCAATCATCAAGCCAAAGACTCCGCAGAGCAAGACGAGGAAGTAGTAGGTGAGCCCCATGCTGAACAACTTTCCAAAGAGGCAGGGCATCAGGCCAGTCACGATGCCACAAATGGAAATACACAAGCCATAAATCGTCACGGAATTTGCCCACTTCTTGTCCCCCAAATACCCCAAAATTATCTGCAAAACGAAATCACAAATAAAAGTTGAATAATAATAATTAATACTTAATTTCCTAATTTAACGGATTAAATTTCTTTACATTTCCGAAAACGGTTAAAAGTCCGATCGTACTTCCCAACATGGCTCCTTCTCCTTCCGAGTAGCCCAAGCCCGTGGCAGTGTCGGCAAGAAAGGTCAATGGGATCTCATACCTGGGAGGCAAAGAGGAAATGTGCATAAGTACTTATCCCAATTTTACTTGGCGCACTCTCCACCCACCACAATTTACTTACCACATGTACAAGAGAAAATTCGACATGATGAACAAAACGAATCTAGTATTTTTCAAGTGATCCAGGGCAAAGATTTCTTGCATCCAGACGTAAATATCCTGCAGGGCGGCTTTCCACTCCTAAAATCAATTACAATCACTCAATAATTCTCCTCGACTAAATTAACCCGAATAATAAATAACTCACGGGCGTATTATCATCCGCTGTGGCTACCGAAATGATATCCGGACATGAGGTCGCAGGTCGGAAGGGGCGCATTCGGCTTCTCTTCAAATTCAACACTGATACGTTAACGAATTGCGATGATTCCTCCAATTCCTAGTCATTAGTCATTATTAAAATAATTAATCAATCAATTAGCTAATTATTCACTAAACCTGGACCCACATACATACCTCGTATGCTGCACAAGATTGTTTCTCATCCCCTGCTTCTCCAATGTGCTCATGTTTCCTGCTCCTCCGTTACAACTGCTGTTTACGCCATTCTTCTCATTGTTTGGTGATGGCGACGGCGACGACGTCACTTCTCCTTTGCCATTAGTCTTATTACTACTCTGATTATTGCTGAATGGTTTTGTATTCATTTGTTGGAGATGAGAATTGAGATTGTTGTGGTGGTGAAAGTCACACAAGTTATTGGCTGACTTCTTGACCTCCCGTAGTTATTGGAATTATTGTTATTGTTCGCGACGGCGACGACGAGGAGGGGCGAGTCGCTTTCGTTTTCCTCCATCATCATCATCATCTTGTCGTCTTTTATGATAGCTTGGCCCCCTTCGTCGTCGACGCTGTCTTGCCCACCACTCTCACTTTTGTCTTCATTACTGAGATCATTGTTCTCTGCACGAGGTGGGACAGGGGCCGGAACGAGGATAGGACCACCTCCAGAGGTGAAACCTCCGGCATAATTATTCGAATAGTAGCGAATCCCTTTTCCTCCTCCTCCTCCATTTTTGACGTAGTGGGACGCGCTGTTGTTGTTCTTGAGACAAAGCTGCTCCGCTTCACGGACAAATGTGGGATACAAACTGCAGAATTGCAAAGTCTTTCAGATTTCTAGAGTCCAATCAAGGCAGTTCCTCCTCCTCCTCCTCCTTCAGGGATGGAGTACATTCCACCCCCTGCTCCATTCAGGCTAGGTCAGCAAAGATTAGGATGATTAAGATATCTTCAAATTATGTTAGTAATCAATAAAGGTTATCAACCTACTTTAGTTGAGTCTGAGTATTAAGGTCGTGCTCATTCTGGAGAACCTTTTCCCTCTTTCGACTACTCTTCTTGCTCCATTCCAAGTCTTTCATGAGGATAGCACAGAAGCAAAGGCTAAATAAAAACACCCGGCGTCCACCAACAAGGTCACTCTCCAGCTGGTCGCTTCTGCAAATCACGAAAATCATCTATTAATTAATTAATTAGTAATTAATATTCTCTACTTCCGGACTCACCAATGAGATAGGAATTCAGGGGCCAAACATAAAAGTTCCAATCCCACCGCCACACATGGACAGGCCCGGCGCGAGTGAGCGTCTCTTATCAAAATAATAGGCCACTATCACAACCGCCGCCACGTAGCACAGCGACAAACCAAATCCCGTGATCACTCCGAACGCCAAAATGAGCATGTGAATTGAAACTGCAATTGCAAAGCAAGAGTTAGTTAATTAATTAATTACTAATAATAATTGACTTTTAAATGTGTATAAAATTCGACAAATTGGGTATTAAAATGTCAATTAACTTGTAATCAATCATCATGTAAATAAATCAGAACTTACTGGCATAATACGACAAGATAAATCCCAGCGTAGCCAGAATTCCACCCACAATGGTGCAATTCCTACAACCATAGCGATCCGTGAGGGTGGACGCGATGGGGCCTGACAGCAAGGGCATCGACGCCAAAAGACTGCCAGCCCAGGTCGTCGTCGTGCTTTTCGACGTCCCAAACTCCTTCTGGATTATGGGGAGGAACACGCCGTAGGAAAATGTGACCCCGTCAGCCATCAGATTTATGAAAAAGACTACAGCAACAACCACCCAACTAGACAAGCAGAAAGTTAAGTTGGGCCAATAATAATTATGACGACCAACTTCTAATCTTATAAAGATTTAAAAAATAATCGCTGTAACCAGAATATTCGGACAAAAACAATAAAGTTAACAAAATCATGGTTGGCTCCAAACTGGAGTCTCATTTTTCTCCTCTTGCTTTCTCTCTCTCTCTCTCCATATAACAATTGCTTGTTTTGTGCCATATTGCAATCTCATCAAAATTTTATAAATTTGCCAAAAAGTGCCTAATTGATCCAGGTAAGTTTTATTGCTGTATTTTATGCATTTATCAAAATATTAACCACAAATTTGTAGAGCAGGTGGTTTCAAATTTTTAAAAAAAATATACACTCCAGATTTTGACACCTTTTTTGAGAGAGGCGTTGTCAATTTTAAGAATCTCTCATAAAAACTGCAACTCTTTAAAAATTAGTCAAAAAACTCATCACCATTTAATTAATGACCTCACTGACTATAAATTTGTCGTTCATAATTTTAAAATAAATTCCCAGAGCGGAGAAATGATTAAAAATGTGCCGATTTTCCTGATTTTGGTAATAATTTAATAAAAATGTATCAAATTACAGCAAAGCTGACCAGGCAATTTGTCCTCATCCTTTCCTCCAGAGACATTTTGGAAATCGGTTAAAAGGTAGGTAAACCTATTTTTATAAAAAACTTTCTAGTTTTGAGAATGAAAACCAAAGTCACTTCACACCCGCACAATTTTTATTTGGATAACATTCTCAGCGTTTGTAGAGCTGATTTATCCGGGTCCACGGTCCAAGTCCGGTGTTTTTACTCCACCCTCTCGCGGAGTGGGAGGTGCTCAAATTTGAAAAAACAGGGCTTTCTGCGAGTTTTAGCTTAAAGGCGGGTCAATATTTTTGAAAACGGTTTTCGCCAAACTTTTCCTAATTTTTATCTCTACAACCCTTTTCGAGCGCTTTTTGAAATGCTCCCAGCGGATGTCACGATTAAAGTTATGTCATAAAATTGAGACAAATATATATAACACTAGCGAATAAGCCCTTCTCCTGTCGGGTGAGCGTTTATTCCATCTTTTTCACATTTGTCCACTGGTTGTCATTTGCTGAAACGGTTATCATATTTGGTTAGAATTCAAAATGTAATTTTAAGATGTAAAAAGAGAATGGATTGAATTTGGTCGTAGTTGCAAATTTTTGCAATTTCACTTTCGTTGCCGACAGACATTTCCAGCTTATAATATAGATGTTTAACACCAAATTTTAAACTTCATAATTAAGGCCTCGTTAGTCAGTTAGCGTACAGACATCCTACCTTATGTAGCCAAATTTGACTTGCATCAATTGGTATATTCAGTGGCGTGGGTAAATAGTGCAAAAAACTAATTTAATTCCTTTATGCCGCGTGAAAGTCAAGTCAATAAATCCGAACATGACGGAAATCGATATATGAGTTGAGTAATTAAAGCTGCGTAGTTGAAAATATTTTTCTACTAGCATATAAGCCCGTCTCCCGCCGGGCGAGAATTTATTTGATTACCAAGGAAATAAAATGGGATTGTGCACAATTCCACCACATTACTTTTTGAAAATGTTCACCGTCTTTCGTTTTTAACAATATGAAGATATTAATGCACCTAAAAATCGGTAATTTTTAGGCTTACATAGTTAGGAGATAAAAATTTTGATGTTTTTCTTCAACAAGAAGATAAATATAAAATAGATGAAAAATAATCAATAAAATTTAAATATTTCCTCATTGAAGAAAAAAATCAAAATTTTTATCTCCTAACTATGTAAGCCTAAAAATTACCGATTTTTAGGTGCATTAATATCTTCATATTGTTAAAAACGAAAGGCGGTGAACATTTTTCAAAATCGCCATTTGAATACATGGAGGAAGGGAAAGTTGAGACACAACAATTCAAACAAAAAACACGTGATACAATGCCACGTTAACGATTCAAGATAACCATCCAAAACGAACCATCGCCATACCCCTATTCCCAGATAACCACTACCAGACATCCAACCGCAGACGAACTGTGTCAGCTTTGCGCACAGCACAATCGTCGGCGTGACGACGCAATACAACTCGTCGACCCTGTGCTGACATGACACTATAATTTTATTTAGTGCAAACATGTGCACACTAAACAAACAGTTTATGATACGACACCACAATCTTGTTTAGTGCAAACATGTGCACACTAAACAAACAGTTCAAGACTCGACACTTCAATCTTGTTTAGTGCAAACATGTGCACACTAAACAAACATTTTATGAGACGACACGTAAATCTTGTTTAGTGCAAACATGTGCACACTAAACAAACAGTTCAAGACTCGACACGTCAATCTTGTGTAGTGCAAACATGTGCACACTGCACGGAACTGTTGGTGTAGCGGTATGCATTGCACTGACTGTTATCTGAGAGTGGTTATCATGGCTGATTATCAGATAGTGATGGTGGTTGTCTGATGTTGATTATAAGGGAGTGGATATTTGGGAGCGGTTTTAAGTGAACAATAATTTTGTTTCAACTTAAAATTTTTGAATTTTCGACCAATTCAAAACTTTACTTTCCCCACTTTGACTTCCGTTTAGGACAAATTCCTTCGACAGACATTTCTAGCTTATAATATAGATTCTACATACGAAATTATTGCAATTTATGCATAATATATTTTTCCTATTCTATACCAAACGTCTTGCCATTTATGCATAATATATTTTTCTACTCTATACCCCCGTCACCACTTTGCTTCAGTTTTTTGGCAGCCAGCCACCACCATGCTTTATGTACTCCTCCGCTCCAAATCAGTTCACCATATGCTTGCTCTCTTGCATAAAATTTGTGTTTACATTTCTCACTACAATTAAATTTGTAAAAATAATTACCCTAGTGGTTTTTGTAATTACTATCAACATGACAAATGCATAAAATGCTATTGGAATTGCGTTCTTGCTGAATTAATTAATTGGAAATACTGAGACACATAAAGACGTCTGAATGCAAGAGGTCAAACCTTCCCGTTTGGTCACACCCGGCGTGTCTCCGCCGTCGCAAGACGTGCCACAGCCGCCGGAACGTGGCTTATCGTCGTCATCACCGTCGCCACAACGTGCATGGTTGGAAAAGTTTCTTAAAGAATTAATGTTGTTTGGTATATTGTTGTCTTCAGAACCAGAGGTAATCATTTGGGCCATTTATGAAAGAATTGAGTTGTATTACAAACAAAGACATATCAACATATTAATTATTCTTCTCGAATTATTTTTAGGTGCAATATGTAGCTCTGAGAAACATCAATTTGATTGTGCAAAAGCGACCCGCTTGCTGCCAGCAGTTTAACCGAAATGACTCGAGATTAGTGGGACATTTAGTCGCAGATACTTTAAATATAATTAATTTTATACATATCTGGAGATTGTAAAAAGAAAAAGATTTTCACTCATTTCGTACGTTTATTTCAGAAATAGTAAAATATATATGGACATGACATTCACAAACCGAGCAATACAAGGAATGTCTGGATTTGCAGTTAAATTCAATAAAAATAGTTTTGGGCTACTTCCAAATCAATCCTGTGGGGCGCCTTTGCCCGTTAATACTACTGGTCCTGTATGCATCATTCATAACTTCATTCAGACTTTCCATAATCCTTTCTGGCTGAACTTTTACCCTCGGTGGACGAAGTTTCTGTTGCAGTTGGCGAATCCTTTTTTTGTTGTCCGTGGTTGAACTTGGACTGGTTTCAGGTGACGAAATGTTGGATTGAGGTCGAGGACTAGATACGGATGACGATGCGGAGCAAGGCGACTCGAAGCTTCCACTAATTTCCGGCTGCGACACGTCCAACGACGGCGGTGACACGGCAATTGATGTTACTTCTTTTGGTAAAATAGGGATGAATTTAATACTGGGACTAGGTCGGATAATTTCACTGGGTGTAGAAACTGTTAATAATTGCTCCTGCGACACAAAAAATCTTGATGGAAGGGCGGATGGTTTTAGTCTTCTTAGAATTGTTAAACTGATCATCCTTAAAATGTAGGTCGCAAATCATGGAGACGGGGGGAACATTTTGACAATCGAGATCCAAATACTCACACCACTTCTTGAATCGAAGCGATAGAAAATATTGCAACTTAATATTCTTTATTAGAATGCCAAAATTATTTTCCATTTAATTTATTAACACGCCTGACCTGTCTGGCTGGGATGGAAATTGATAAAACTGAGCTTCCGGATTTTTATGTTCTGTTTTAGCACACCTTGGATATTTACAACAGGTTATTTTCAGTGTCCTTGGTGGTGGTGACCCCCACGGCTGGGTCACTTCATTTGAAGGCAGGGACACGTGGAGGCTGGAAAATATTAACCCAATGTATTGTCTTAATTAAAAAAAAATTGCTCAAGTAATGTTTACAGTACGTGTGCATGTGTATTATATAATTTAATGTGCAAATAGATATGTGTACTTACCATGTACTGCCGAGGGGTACACTGTTTAATTGCAAGTAACTTTTTTAAATAATTAATTGAAGAAATTTAAGCTGGCTAAAAATCGATCGGACTGGAACTGTATTTTTCTTTGCCACGCAAAGGAAACCATGTGGTGGTGATTGAATTGCATCAGCTTTTTCTCATGCTGAAACTGCACACAGTTATTTGGCCGATCTGTTAAAGCCGCCCATTTGCAGGAAGAACAAAATAATATTAAGCTCCGCTGGTTGGCTGCTGAGCTCTTCCATAAGCTTCACTCCAATACATTGCATGAGTCGTTCCTCTTCCCCTAGTTTATTTCATATTCCATGCAATCACCCCAAAGCCGTCCGTGGCGCTCAACTGCGCCTTGTTGTTTATATACCAACCTCACATCCATCGGGAATTAACGTCAAACATCACTGAATACTTTGAATTCATATTCACTCATCACTGGACGACGAAATTTCCATTCACAGGACTGGGTGATTGATTACAAAGTCAAAAAATTTTTAACATTTCACATT